GTACTCCGGGCAATCCAAGCCAGGACTGCTTTGCAAGCGGGGCACCCCTGAGAGCTGTCTGTCCGGGGTGGGGGTCGGGACCCTTTAAGCGCAGCCCTCGGCTAGCCTGAGACAGCATCTCCACGCTCTAAGTCCTCCTCTGATGCCCTGCCGGCACTGCTTCCGGCCATCCTTAAGCCTTGTTCAGGGTCCACTCAATGTGGACTTGCTAGTTCGAATTAGCAAAATGCTAATTCGAACTAGTTTTTAGTTCTAGACGCGTTAGTTCGAATTAGCGCTGTAGTGTAGACATACCCTTTCTTCCCCTCTGTTTCAGAATCTCCCATGGGAGACTTTTCAGTGGAGAGGGAACTGAGGGTGGTTTACCCATCTGGCCCACGTAGCCTTGGCATGAGTATAAGAATGTTCTGGGTGCTGGCTGAAGGGGCCCTACTACAAAAATCTCTGATCAAGGCACAAGTACACATGCACACCAAAAATGGAGTGCTTGTGGGACACATATCTCAAAAAACAGTAGTTAATGCACCAAGTGAGTAATATTCTCTATATATTACTCTCCCAAATGGTTTTTAGGGAGGGACAAAAATGTGTTTTTCTAGTTGCCACCAGTTAATCTGTTTTGTTCTGCTATGCGTTGACCTACTGTATTTTGGCTTTATATTATATGGATGAATAAGAAAGCCATTGCAATGTTTATTCTTCCTATTGACTTTGGAAAGGTGCTTTGGAAAGCTTCATTAATCTACGGCTCACTGAAGCAGTAAAATACTCCCCCAAGAGTTTTCTTTTGTGGATAGTCTTGCAATAAACTGATGTAAAATGGTTTGCTTTCAAAATATTTCAATGCACTATTTTAGTCTTCATTATTAATGATAGGTTTGTAGCTGAAAGTAGTAAAACGGTTGTGTAGCTTAAGGTTGGATACAAACACCGTTGTCCTTGACCAGCAGTAAGAGGATGACACAATGTTAGACTCTTTGGTGTGCTTTTGCAAAGTTTGCAATTAATCTCTCGTTAAATTGGAAACATTGGTCCTGACTTTCCATTGCCCTGTCTCTCGTGTAGTCATTTGCTCCACTGCAAAGTGAATATAAAATAGTAAATTAGAATGGTAGCCTTTTACACTCTCTTTGCATTCAAATTGCACTGGTGTAATTAACTTCACAGGTGCGGGGCAGTGGAGAATTAGCATTGCACAATATTTTTGGTTCACACTGGATCCTGAAACACCATTGTAAAATGTTCTTCTAGTATTTCTCTACTCATTCAGCAAATGCAGTATTTCCCTGAGACCCAATAGTAGAGGTAGAGCTTAATTTTTATTCAATCTTGGTTCAGGAAAACTGCCACTGAATCAAGTGAGTCAGATTTAAATATGGATGTTAGGATTTGCCCAGGATGATAAATCTACTCCCGTGAGAGTTTCATGGCATAATGAAATTAATCCAACAGCCATTTGTGGTAAAAAGAGAGTGTTGTCTACAGCACTGAGATATTCTGTTCTAATTCTCCCACTGAATTGTTTTGTGAATGACTTTGACCAAATTGATCAACCTCCTGTGTTTAGTTTGCCTCTTTGCAAAATTCCTGTAATATTTGCCATCCAAGGTAGAGTCAGTAAAGCTGGTTGGGAAATGATTTGTTCTCCTGTGAAAAAAATTGATGAAAATGAAAAATACATATTTTTGTTGAAAATGTTCTTAGATTTATTTTGGGCTTTTCATTGAAAAACTGAGAAAAATATTAGTTGTTTTTTGGCTAGTAAAATCTGAAAATGTGTTTGGTTAGGGAAAACTAGAAAATATTTTTTTGAATGAAAATCTGAAAACTAACTAAAATGGATATTTCCATTTTGGGGAAAAAAAAGGTATGTTGAAAAAAGATTGAAAGAACTTTTTCTACCAGTTCTGCATACGAAACCGTTTGAAGATGCTGTAAAAATATAAAGTGTTTCTTCCATCTGTTGACACTTGGGTTCAAAACCACTTACTTCTCAAGTGAAAATGAGTTTGGTTTTAGTCTGATCCATAATAAATGTGTGTCAACAGCACAAAAAAACCTGTATTCGGTTTAGCACCACTGGAAGTTTGCTGCTGTGTTGGTGTCAATGGATGTTGCAAGGCCTGAGGCAAGGCATCCTCTAAAATTGCATGCACGAAGTCTGCATTATTAGTCCTTCACTTCCGTGAAATAGTCTGCATATTTGTACAGTATCCAAACTGATGGTTCTTTCACAGCCTTTCTTTGGACAGTTTTCCTACTACTTCCCAACCATTCATTGGTGAAATTTATTTTGAATAATTTGTGCCCATCAGACCATGCTGTTCTTTTTAATAATGTAGCTTTTTTGAAGTAATAGCCATACATTTTGGTCAAATAAGACTCGCAATGCACCAAGCATACTGTTGGCATTGTATTTAATTCTAGAGCTCATTTAATAATCAGTATTATTTTATTAAAAGTAATTTTTGTAGTGGGAAAACTACTCCTTCGAGTCAGACCCAATTCAAATACAGTTTACAACATTTAAAAAACAGTGAATGGTCCTACAGCAGGACCATTCATTGTTTTTAAAGTTTTTTCAGTTACAGATTAACACGACTACCCCTCTGAGATAGTTTACAACATTATCATTTGGGATCAAGCCTAGTAGCTTGTCATCTGTTCTGAATCCTTTTGATGATTCGGTTTGACATGGAGGAAAGGTCATCTCTCTTCCCCCCATCCCCCACTGCTCTTTCTTTACTGAACTGCTAACCACATTTATTTCCATTGCTCTCTGCCAACTCATACAAATGGGGGGAGGGAAAAAGAGGTAAGAGAAAACAGATGACTTCATTGTTAAGTGTGCTTTAGATTAAAAATTACACAAAAATGTGCCTCTGAACCATATTTGAAACATTACCTATAATTTACCTTTGTATTGTGTTTTGTGTTGATAGGCACATGAGGTAAAGGAAACTGAACATGCCTCGCAGCCCAACATCAAGTGAAGATGAGATGGCACAGAGCTTTTCAGATTATTCTGTTGAATCTGAATCAGACAGCTCCAAAGAAGAAACTATATATGATACTATCAGGGCTACTGCAGAGAAACCAAGCAGCAGAATGGAAGACAGTAGGAGCAACACATTAGTGATACGAGTTGTAATACCTGACTTGCAACAGACGGTAAGGGGAATTGCATTATAAGGTTTTCAAATGTTTGGTCAGATACTGAAGTCAGTAGAACTATTTCAATTTCTGTCACCCAAAGGGCTAGTTCATTATGTTAAAAGTTTTGCAGTGTCTAAGACTGTGATGTCCTATTTTGTTTGGACATCCACCGTTACGATCCAAGTGACACACCAGAATGATTATTTGTCCTAAAGAGATTATACTGACATGCAGCCCAGCCCATATAGTCAGTCTCATATATATTTGATGAAAGCTGCGACCTTAAAGCAAAATGTCTAAAGTGTTTTAAGAAGGGTCGGACCAGGGAAGTTTCAGAAAGGTTGTGAACAGATCAGAACAAGAAGAGGTAGAGAACTATAATCACAGTGGACTGCAGGGATTGAAAACAGAATTCATATATCATCTCTAAAAATGCCTGGCACAGTAGCACCTTTTACATTTTCTCTTCCCATGGCACTGTAAAGAACTGTTCATTAGCTTGTGGGTGTGAGGTGAGGGTGAGAAGGTCATCAAAATCTCTCTCCCCTCCGCCAAAAATAAATAAATAGAGAGGTATGGATAGATCCCTCCTGCTGTTGCAACCCACCTCCACCATGCCTGCACCTCACCACATTAATCTTAGGAAAGTTGTTGCATTAAAATGACGTTGCAGATGGGTGCCTGGAATACAC